TTGTTAAAATGGAACAAAATATACTTTTTGACAGCCATTAATATACTTGGTGGGGCCACCCAAGCACAGCGTGTGGGAAACACTGTGATGAATGAATTTAAAGTTTTATAATGTTATTGTCAAACAATAACCTCTTTCACTGTCAAAGGCCTCTATGTTAAGTTGTATTCAAAAGTATATGCACCCTTGTCAAATTCCATTTTGTTGATTTTCTAAGTGAAAATAAGTGAACACATCCTCTTCAGAGAACACACTCCTATACGTTTTAATGAACAAGTACTGATTATTTGCTGAATTTAACATATTGTGAAAAAAATAAAACTTAAAATGTAGCCTGTGCAAAAGTTATGGCACATTTTGTATTTTATGTTTTTTTTCTGATATGTTAAACTCAGCAAAAATACAGAAACTGTGCAACAAAATTTGCAGGAAAATGCCAGATTTAAGGTTGTTCTCTGTATATATATATATACATATATATATATATATATATATATATATATATATATACATATATATATATATATATATATATATATATACATACATATATATATATATATATATATATATATTACTTTGAAAATTTTACTTTTTTTTTACTTAGAAAATCAACAACACATGTACTTTGTCCAGGGGTTTTAAAATTTTTGCGTACAGCTGTAGATTCACAGTCCAGCTCCTCATTCTAAATTGTGGTAGTTTCATATAGTTACCAAATTACTGCACTACAATAGCTGACTTTCACTGCAAACATCCTGGCACATACATACATACACACACACTCACACACACACACACACACACACACACACTCACACTCACACACACATGGAAAACTCTCAACCTGTCTCAACCTGTTTATTAGCAGTGGTCATTTTGTTAGGCTACTTATTACATAGTACTTTACATTGTACACAACTGCAAACTCTTCGGTCCAGGATCCTTCACTTAAGAGCCCTGGGTAGTCAGTTCCACTATTCCCCCAGTTGTAAAGCCCCTGGTTGCTGCAGTTCCTAAAGAGCCTGCAGAAGAAGCTTCCTACTGCACAGTAGAACAGGCTTTTTCTCATCATCGAATATCTCAGCCTGCTGTGTCTATTAAAAGCCAAATAGCAAAATAATCATTTACACAGACTCATTCTTTGAATAACTATCTGATGATTATTGCCAATCTTGTGTTATGTTTACAGCACTGTAGAATAATTGTGAAATTGCATCCTGTTTTTTTCCTGACTGCGTTTATTGAAAACCAATTACCATGTTAGCTATAGCCGCAAATGGGCTTGCAGATGTACTAACACACAGCGTCTCCATTCTGTTGTAATAGTAGAATAGTAATCTGATCTGCACATCTGAAATTAAATATTCCACTGTGCACATCATTACCTGGAGGGTTATGCTGATGGAAGGTGCCTCTGAATGTGAAAGGCAATTTCCCTTCTTTGCAATTCTGCTGAAATTGCTGGATTCCGTGAGAGACAGATGCACCCCTGAACCTGGAGATGAGGTGGTCTAGATTGTATTCCTGCCAACAGGCTTCTCCTGTCCAACCAGCAGCCTGTGATGATGACCTGGCTCAAGCTGAAACTCCTCTACAAAGTGCCAGACTGGCCTGGCAGCTGTGTTCTGCCACAGGCAGGTGGGCTTTCACAATGCAGATAGTCCTTTAGACATTCTCAGAGGTTCATTATAGCACTTTCCAGACTTTGCTGTTTTTCATATGTTATAATATATTAAATACTAAGCAAGTTTATTTTGACAAATATCATTTGACCCCTTAAAGGGCCAGGGCCCACCAGCAGGCCCAAAGTTTTATTAGACACTTTTATAACCTAAGAATAGCTCAACCAGTTTGCACTGAAGTCCCTGTAGTTACTGAATAATAAGACTTAGTATGTAATAAGCCTGGGATTTTAAAGGGTTAAACATGTAAACATTCCTGACACTATTTGGACAGTCCTACCTTGGGAACAATGCCAAACCCCAAGCATTTTCTTCCCTTGTTGTGATGTCAGCACTCATCAGCGCTCAAACCTTTTTTGCACTGAAAGAGTTTCAAGATTTTAACAATAGATTGGAAAAGTAAACTGTCAAATCATTATATAGGCAAAATCTGCTCTTCAAACCAAGGAAGTCAGTTGCATAAACATGAAGCTCAGTGTTGCAAAATATACCTAAAGCACCAGAAAACCTGTTCTATATAAATGAAACCTCTAGACACTTTTTCCTTTTTCTTACTGAAAAGTAACAAACAAAATTAAAATTAAAACAGGAAAGTTGTCCTCAAACTTTTGATGGGCACCGTATGCATGATGCAGTTTTCTTGCTTCTTTGTCTAGGCGGAATACTTCTGTTTCACATCTGAGGAAGCTGGCACCTATAGGATACACAAAAGCTAATACGCCTGCAACTAGAATATCATGAACATCGACTTTCCCGATTTTGCTAAACTTCTAATTGTAAGTCACTATTATTAAAGTGAAGAAGTTGAATTTTCAGAGCACTGGAATCTGAACATTTTTGGTCCTGATAGTGAAGTAGATTCTACTACTAGAAGCCTTGAAAAGTCAATATATTCTCTTTTTGACTTCAGATTTACGAGTACAATCTTAGAAATAGAGGTACTGTGCAGACACATTTTTCATTCATCAAGGCACAAACAATGTAAATATACCCTCAAAGGTACAACAGTAGCTTTAAGGTCCAATTGTGTATCTTAAATAAGTTTTTGCAGTCAATACAAGAATATATAATTTCAATGGATTATGGTACAATTATTTTTCTGGACAAAAGGTACTAAGATTTACCCTTAAGGGGTACCACCCCAGTGACAAGAGGGGTACTGCCACAGTGACACTTTCATACCTTTATTTCTGAAGGTCTATGCTAACAAAAGGTTTGGACACCCTCATGAAGAGTTTTTCTTTACTTTCCACACTTAAAGTAATAGTGAAGACATCCTACCTAGGAAATAACACATATACTGATCTAAAAAAGTCAAAACTATCTTATGTTTTAGATTCTTCAAAGCAGCCCACCTTTGACTTAACGCAGTTGGTGGTGATAGGGACCAAGGCTTGTGATGTTTACAACACAAATATAACTATTTCATTTACTATGCAGAACTCCAGTAAACCTCTGTGTGTCTTTTGACCTTTTCTATGTGATGTTAATGATGGTAAAATAGTGGTAAAATGTCTTTGGGGACTACTCTGACTTACATGTGCCTCTCTGCCATGAATCGTTTTTAAAAAAATATGTTTTACATCAACAATTTATTGCAAAACTATCAGGCATTGGGCAGTGTAATCATGACCATTTTATGTAATAACTTCCTGTGAGGTAGAAGTCTGGTTTCTATCACCACCACTATGAGCAATTAAAGAAGTTCCACATTATGCTGAGCACTTGTTGGCTGCTGAAAACTACTTGTTCAAGTATTTATTCAGGTATTAAGTATTGACAAATACTTGAACTATTGTTACGATGTCAAGCTTGTAACAATAGCAGAACCCTTTTTGGTGCTATATTGAACCATTTTCAACAAGGTTCTATTTAGAACCATATACAGCACTTTTTCTATCAATCTGAACAACAATTTCACCATGCAAAGCATGCAAATGGTTCTGTGAGTGTTCATATTTCTATATAGAACCACTGTCTTTACTAAAGAACCCCTGAAGAGTGTAGCAGAGTATTTAAGAAAGATAAGAAAAGAGTAATTCACTTTTTATTTCTGGAAATATAAGGCTTAGTACATCACATCTAATGAGCAAATCCTAAAGGTTTTATTAAAGCATCTTAAACTTAATTCAAAACTCATTTTTACAGAGGGAGTCGGAGAAGCGGTTGCTGACTCAAACTCATTAATAGCGTTTTCTATGCAAGAGCAATGACGCTAATAAAAAATTGAAACCAAATGGTTTATTTATCTATTCATTGGCTGTAAACAATGGGGTCAATTTAAAAAATCTCATTTGGTTAAGAAATTATTCAGAAGGCATAAATCAATTTATGAGCCAGTCAGATAACCTTTGAGTTTGATATAAATTAACTTTAAACAGCTTCTCGTAAGCAAACTATAGCATTGCCTTGAAGGCAGTTTAATAAATGATCTTCTAGACTTATCATCATGTCAGTATGACGGCATTTATCCCCTGATGAGAGAGACTGAAACACCGTTCAGTTGACACTACAGACTCCAATCCAACTTGAAGTCCAAAGTCAGCAATTCAGTTCACTAGATGGCAGTATGAAGCTCTGGCGCGTTGTTCGCCAATTCAGTTGACATAGCGAGGAATTGTGTTGCCAAATAATAGTGAAAATCCTCAGCTGTGTTCTAATAATTGAATCAAACTTTTGCTGTTCGCCTTGGTTTGGCCTGGTCTGTAGTCAGTAATTTCACTAATTATACTGGCAGAGGTGACTACAGCATGTGGATCCACATGCTACCAAAATCAAGCAAAACCAATGCCCGCAGATAGAAAGTTTAGTTTACCTATTCGGATGCAGGTCTCGTGTGTGGTAACTTAAGGTAAAACAGGAGCACCTAATAATAGCTTTATGGGCTGTTCATCTGATTGAAACGGAATCAATTTAATTATTATTATTATTTTTTTTTGGCATTATTGGTCTAGAAAGAGTGGCACTGTGGCGTAGTACTCTGATAAAGAATGCTAAATATAATAATATTATTAACACTAATAATATAGTTATAATTCAAAATAATATTATGATAAGTGTTAGTTATTAATAATACTAGTATTATTCTATAATTACGCAACTGCGCATTATTGTGTTCTAGGCATGTAATCAGACCTCCATTAAACCTGCTAATTTGACATTATGACAGAATGTCCCACACAAATGTTTCTTATTTTCTATCACTTTTGGATCAAAAAAATTAAAAATGACTCTAACGTCATCTAATCTAATTTTATGTTCTACTGCCGAGGAGTTACTGGAAGAGATCTGGCAACCCGTTGAGAGGACGCCATTTGCAATGCTCCAGTACTGCGTTAGTAGGGCCATGTTTTAGCCCGCTCTCGGTTTTAAGCAGCGCCACAGTTAAACGGTGTATTTTAGAAGATCTTAGAGTTTCGTCCTTGCAGGTTTGTTTATTGTTTTGGGACGAGTGTAAGGACTAAGCCGTCAAGATGCCGCGGATTATGATTAAAGGTGGCGTCTGGCGCAACACTGAGGTGAGTTTTTGGACGAGGCTGAAGTTGGCTTCCAATTCGCCAGCTAACGTGTTCATATTTCCCCGTTCCACCTTAAAAGGTGCAGCAGTTTCATTCTGGCGACCAAGGCCAAAATGTAACTGCTGCACCTTTTAAGGTGGAACGGGGAAATTCGAATAAGAAGCTGACTTAAGTTTCGTAGTTTTTGGACGGTAGTAGCTAGCTAGCTTAGCAAACAAGCAGCGCTAACAGCAAGTTAGCGATGGGCTGTCAGCTAAAATAAGAGTGCAGTGTTTATTAAATGGTGTAGAGAGAGCTTAAATTTATTAACACGTTAGTCACAATTTCTTACAGATAGTTAGATATAGCTTTATGTGTGGCGCTAGCTAGCTTAGTGATGTAGTTAGCTAGCCAGCAAACGTTAGCTGTGTAACGTTAGGTTAGCTAGCTTAGCTTATTGGCCGCAGTGTCGGTTGTGGCTGTAGTTCATGCCCCTCGGATCAACTTATGGATCTACTCTGGTGTTTCTCACCTCCAGTCCTGTAGTTCATCCGCCCAGCACAGTTTTGTGTTTTTCTGCTCTAACGGTCCTGCTTCATCTCCAAAAAGACTTGATCATTAAATAATGATGGGACCCAAATCAAGGAAAACCCTAAACTCTGCAGCGCACGTTAATTTACAGTACTGGACTTGGGGAATATTAAAGTGGACCTGCAGCTTACCTGGATGGACAGACGTAAAGCATTATTTGCCAAAACACACACATGCTTGCGTTTTTCTAGTCTAGTCTGAACACCGTCTGACCCAGGGGTTCCCATTCCTACTGACCATGCACATTTCTGCACACCTGATTAAATTAACTAATGAAACTAGTTCCTTATGTGGTCAAGCTCCAGCGTATTGGAGTACACATAATACATAAGTGTACAGAGTAAGGGGTCCTCAGGACTTGGGAACCCTTGATCTCCTTAAAAGCACGAGTTATTAACGATTATGAACCTGTCTTGTTTTGTAGTTGTTTCTGTTTTCATCTTAATCAGCTGTGTTTTTTGTCTCTGTAGGATGAGATCCTCAAAGCAGCTGTAATGAAATATGGCAAAAATCAATGGTCCCGCATTGCCTCTCTGCTGCACAGAAAGTCAGCCAAACAGTGTAAAGCTAGATGGTAAGTTTTTTGTGACTCTAATGCAGTTATCATGTATGTCATATGTACTGCTCCGGTGCAGTAGGCAATTCTAATCATCTGCTGAAAGGGTATATGCCTAGTTGACTTTATTTTAGAATTCCTATATCATTGTTTATTTGCTTTTCAAATGTGTCAGATATCAATTCTGGATTGTTTCAACCCATCTAGGTATGAGTGGCTGGATCCCAGCATTAAGAAAACAGAATGGTCTCGTGAAGAAGAAGAAAAGCTGCTGCATCTGGCCAAGCTTATGCCCACCCAGTGGAGAACAATTGCCCCCATCATTGGCAGAACAGCTGCACAGTGTCTGGAGCACTATGAATTTCTTCTGTAAGTGCTTGTCCAGGTTATTCATATGTGTTATAAGTGTGGCCAGTAGATCTAACCACTACACTTTTTCTGCTACAGAGACAAAGCTGCTCAAAGAGACAATGAAGAAGACACAGCAGATGACCCTCGCAAACTCAAGCCAGGGGAGATCGATCCTAACCCCGAGACAAAGCCAGCCAGGCCAGATCCCGTGGATATGGATGAAGGTTAGCATGTCGATGTTTGAGAGAACTAATTCTTAGACTCCAGTAAAGTACTATTGATTTATTTGGTGATAGTCAAATAAACAAAGTGGTCTTGTTCCTCTGTAGATGAATTGGAGATGCTGTCTGAAGCCAGAGCTCGTTTAGCAAACACACAGGGCAAAAAGGCCAAGCGGAAAGCCAGGGAGAAACAGCTTGAGGAGGCCAGGTAAGATTAGCCATGTCTTTGTACAGAAATTAGTATATTCATTACAGAAGGGGTGATTTGAGGTCTGACACATTTATTGTAAAAATAAAACACACAGAATTGTGGACTAAAACGTCATGGCTTGTAGTGCTCATCATCTTTTCTTCTCTCAGGCGTTTGGCAGCCCTGCAGAAGCGCAGAGAGTTACGTGCTGCCGGCATCGATATTCAGAAGAAGAGAAAGAAGAAAAGAGGTGTAGACTACAATGCAGAGATTCCTTTCGAGAAGAAGCCTGCTCAGGGATTCTATGATACGTCTATGGAGCAATATGATCCTCTTGAGCCTGACTTCAAAAGACTTCGCCAGCAGCATCTTGATGGCGAGCTCAGAAAGTGAGTGACTGAGGTTCATATTTTCCCCCTAACTTTTGAATGATAGGGTGTTTGCCAGTTGAATTGCCCATGCACAGATATCATTTTGCCCTTTTTTGAATATTGTTCTTTTGTGGATTTTTATAGTGAGAAAGAGGAAAGGGAGCGTAAAAAGGACAGACAGAAGATCAAGAAGAAGAAAGAGTCAGACCTTCCCTCTGCCATTTTGCAGACCAGTGGGGTGTCTGAGTTCACTAAGAAGAGGAGCAAGCTAGTCTTGCCTGCACCACAGGTAAACTGTGATAACGTGCTGTTGTGGAAGGTATACTCCGTCATGTAATTTTCTGTGATGCATTTTACTGTAAGTCATTGTAAAATGCACTCCCCCCCAGATATCCGATGCTGAACTGGAGGAGGTGGTCAAACTTGGCCAGGCCAGTGAGATTGCGCGGCAAACCGCTGAAGAGTCTGGAATCACAAACTCAGCCTCCAGTGCTCTTCTTTCTGAATACAGTGTCACCAATAATGCTATGGCCCTCCGCACACCACAGACTCCTGCAGCACAGGACAAGATTCTACAGGTATTTTTGAGGGTTTCTAATTTTTCCTCATCAAAACCGTATATTATAACATTTTCATGACACATGCTTGAATATTACGCTCAGTGCTTTATTTGGCCACTTTTTTCCACCCCAGGAAGCCCAGAATCTGATGGCACTCACTAATGTGGACACCCCTCTGAAGGGTGGTCTGAACACACCACTGCACGAGAGTGACTTTTCTGGGGTTACACCACAGAGGCAGGTGGTCCAGACCCCCAATACTGTACTCTCCACACCATTCAGGTAGTCTCCCAAATTGCAGTATACTTTGTAAAAAATGTATTGTTAACAGTAAGATTTAAAAATGTTGACTGAATAAATGCCAAATCTGCAAAAGGTAATGTCGAAATGATATCTGTTTATTTGGCAGAACCCCAAGTCATGGTGCCGAAGGTTTGACGCCTCATAGTGGTATGACCCCAAAGCCTTCAATGGGAGTGACCCCAGGCCGGACGCCGCTGCGTGACAAACTTAATATCAACGCTGAGGACGGTGTTGTGGACTACGCAGACCCAGCTTATGCCAAGCACCTGGTGTGTGACAAAACATGAACATAAATATACAAGGGCTGGCCTGAATAATTTAAATACTTGTGTAGTAATTTGCTGCTTGTATTCGAAAGCTTTTTTTAGACCACAGAAATTATAGTCTAAAATAAATTTCATCGTAAAAGGCATTTAAATAGAATACTCATTGTTAATATGTGGAAAATGATGAATTATAGTTAGATTGAGTACAACATAAAGTCTTTCCAGGTATTTACATCACTGCATCACCTCACATCCACATGGCCACTGAAGCTAAAAGAGCAAAGAAGTCTTTAATTAACGATGTGCGATTGGAGACACTTTCAATTATAAGATAATTAAAAAAAAAAATAAAAAAATTCCTCAGTGCAAAATGTGTCATAAGAAGCTGGTATACCATGGAGGCTCAACAAGCTGGGTGAATTTTCTCAAATATGTAAACTTCACAGATCCTTTTCTGAGTACCGCCATGCGTCTAATCCACACTGCCTCCGACTCCGCTTCATCACCGTGGGGAGTGTGATTTGCCCGGAGCTCTGTGGAGTTTAAGCTTCATTTGTACAAGTGCAGAAAAAAACTTTGGCGGATGTAAGAGGCGCATCTGGCATAGCTGGTGTGGACTGAAACATTAATTAAAATGGAAGCATATCTGTTTTTGTCAAACAGACAACTGAAACATAGAATAATATTGTTTGTAAAGGGAATTTTAAGGAGCGTTTGAATACTCATTGTGAGAAATCAGTGACAATTCGAAGGCTGTAAAATACTGTTTGGGTCAGCCCTATACCACACAAAACCTTCTCCTCCTTCATATGATGATATCTTAGCAGTGGCCCTGTAGTTGTTTGCCTACGGCAGCATCTTGATGTATGCTGTGTATTGCAGCAACGAGAGTCTCGCGAGCAGCTGAGGCTGGGTCTGATGTCTCTGCCGCTGCCCAAGAACGACTTTGAGATTGTGCTGCCTGAGAATGCTGAAAGGGAACTGGAAGAGCCTGAGGTGGACGAGAGCTTTGTGGAGGACGCAGCTGACATCGAACTACGTAAACAAGTGAGTGATCAAAGTTCTCTTCAAAATATTTATCCCTAATTTTGTGTAACTCAGGCTGATTAAATGACTAGAGACCTAGACTTTACAGTTTTGTTTTTCCAAAGATGTACACTAGAAATATGCAAATGCCCTTTCAGTCATAAATGGAAGCTGGTGCATGCCAGTGATAATTGCTTTAACAATGCCAGTGCTTGGGCTTTCTTTGTTCAGGTTCATTGCATGATCTGTCTTCAGCAAGTCAATTGTAAAATGTCTCGGAGCATAACAAATGTTGCAGTGAATGCAGTGTTGTAAAGAACAATAACTAGATAATCTAGATAACCAACAGAGTAATAAATAAGAAGTTTTGGGTTGATGATGCTGACGATACAAAATGGAGAAATGTAAGCAGTGAAGTGTAAGCAGCACATTTTGAATTCAGCTGAAAAACTGTAAATTAACAGGGTTGCAACTAAAGGGATAAGGCTTAAGGTCCTCGCTGAGCCAGGCTCACCTTGGCCTGTTGATGATCGGGCTATCAGAAAGCAGCAGAATGTGATCATGCTGTGGAAGCAGAACAGTGTAATTTGAGATTACCAAACTCCCTTTGGCAAAGACAGGCATTAAAGGCATTGTGATCTCTTCTGTATGCTTAAGTAGTATTTTGTTAATGGATGTGAAATGTGGTGTGTTATTGCAGGTAGCCAGAGAGGCCGAGCGAGAGAAGGAGCTGAGGCAGAGACACACAGCAGTGCAGAGGAATTTACCCAGACCTTCAGAGGTGAGCTCTTTCCACTGTTTCACACACAAGACTCCTGAAACAAGCACAGATTCATAATATTTAAATTATATATATGTCTGTTCCTGTGAAGGGCCACAGACACCTTTTACCGTTGCTAAATGCTAGAAATTTAAAATTTCTCAACAAATAAAGCCTTAACTTAAAAATTACCCTAAAAACCTTTAACTTGAGTATTGTATTCATACATTTGTATTTTACATTTTCTATTTAGTTCACCTTTTCTAAGAGCTGCCGATGACTCACTGAATCCCTGTTGTGTGCTGTAATCGTGATGTGCATGTTTCTGTGATCAGGTAAATGAGACAATTCTAAGACCTCAGAATGTGGAGCCCCCACTCACAGAGCTGCAGCAGGCAGAGGAGCTCATTAAGAAAGAAATGATCACCATGATCCACTATGATTGTCTGCATCACCTCAACACAGAAGCCCTTGCCAAGAAAGGCAAAGGTGTGGGCTCCAGTTCCAACAATGCTGAGCACATTGCCTTCTTGGATAAAACACCATACGAGAAAGTCGCAGAGGACGACCTTAAGAAGGTTAGTCTCGCGTGGTTTCACTTCCTTTATCATCAGTACAAGTAGTCTTGAATCACATTCAGCATATTACTTGTTCATTGTTCTAAAAAGCTCTTGCCCCTTCTTAATGTAGTCTGTTTGGATTATTTATCTGCTTCACCTGAAGGAAATCCTTGATACCTTTTTTCAATATATGGTAAATTATCACTGTTCCTATTAATGCCAGGCCAAGGAGATTCTGAAGCAGGAGATGGACGTGGTGAAGCATGGTATGGGCCATGGTGACCTTTCCAGTGAAGCCTATAACCAGGTTTGGGAGGAGTGCTACAGCCAGGTGCTGTATCTGCCTGGGCAGAACCGCTATACCAGAGCCAACCTGGCCAGCAAGAAGGACAGGATTGAGTCCCTGGAGAAGAAACTGGAGGTAAAAGGAAGAATATAGTGATGTTTCATGTGCAGTTCCAGATCAGTCCAGTAGGTGGCACTGACTACTTAATGTTGACGTTTAAAGTAACGTGAAGATGGCACTGCTTAGCAATAAATATGTATGACTGTGAACTGCTGTAGAAACACTTTAACTTTTGCTTACTTGAAGTATGGTGTTTTATCACTGCAAAGAATTACTTGGAACTTAGGTGATCCCATGTAAATGTGGAATAGTACATTTAATACCGTACATAAGAACTGGTTAATATGTTAAGCCAATTATTAGCTCGTTTAAAAACACACTTCGTGCTTTAAGCTTCATACCTCATTGCTGCAAGGGCCAAGAGAAACATAGGCTAGGCCACCAAGTTGATTTTCATGAGTTTAAAATCAAATTTAAAAATTACATTCCAGAGACATTCCTTATTTTAATACAGACAAAAATTATAAGCACTTAAAGATATTCAGTTGCCCTGGGTCTCAGGGCCGACATATGTGTGAAGTTTCAGTTAATCAAGGCAGCCCCCGTCTCACAAAGGGTACATTTGTTTCATATTTTTTGGCCGGGAACATGGGGCGGAAACTTGGAGCCCATTCAGACAGCAGCACGCTCCGAGGAGAGGGGGAGGGGGTGTTCCTGGAGGGGTGCAGAGAGCCGAGGGCTGCTGCACTCCTTTCATTCACAGAATGAACAGGATTTATGCTAGTGGCAGCTGCATACCACATTTATTAACAGGCCTCAGAAGCCACTTGCAGCAGTGCAGTTCAGAGGGTCTCAGGGTGTCATCTGTGGCACGATCCATAAACAGCAGAACACCCTCAGCCTTCTGTGTAACCACACAGTAAACAAAGCCAGAGGGTCAGGAGCTTTCACCGCCCTGAGCCGCACCACTGGGAATAATAAGACACTCTGGCCTAGGTTCAGTACCTTTGATAGGTTTTCACTGGCATCCACCAGCCAAGTAACATCTACAGATTGTAGATTAGAAAATGAATGCTATTGTTGCACATATCCACGTTTTGAAACGGATAGAACTCCAATATCCCAACTAGAGAAAAGTTTTGTAGTGTTGTAAGTAATACATTAAAACACCAAACATTCATCTGCTACGTTTAGATACAGGTGATGTACCTGGTTGAGTTTAGTGATTGTAACTTGCAGTAAATACAATTTTGTCATCTTTTGTGTGCGATATTTTCCTATATAGCCCTGTTTATATGTCACATATTCAATCAAAAACTAATTTAAAAATTACAAGACTATACAAGAAAAAAAAAAGATTATTTTAAAGGGCCCACATCATGGATAACTGAATACTCCTCACTTTTTTCAGTTTGATGTAGTAAACACTGTTAAAGTTTCACAACATACTGTTCACTCCTGTGACGTCCATGTAAGGAAACTAAGCTGCAAAAACGGTCCATTTTGAATTTGTGAAATCACAAAAACCAACACATTTACCTACATCAGCGTATTCAACCTACAGCAGTTTAGCCCTGCTCATTCACCCTGAAGTTGTGACAGTGTTTCAGCTCAGATTTTTGAATGAAGCTGCAGATAATCAGCCAATCACAGCAGAGCTCATTTACAGATCAGTTGCAAAGGTATAATAACAAACAGCCTGTTTAATTGTAAGTGATGAAGAGAGGGTTAAAAATGGTTGCGGAAAAATGAAGTTTGAGGTTTTTTAGCACATAAACCAAAACAAATACAATAAGTGGACCTCAGGGGGGAAAATAACGTACAAATGCTGAGTATGGGACCTTTAAATATTTTTTTATTCCAAACTACATATGCCTTACTCAAGTCAAAATGAATTCTAAAATGTTTTATATGATGGATGATCATGACTTTATACTCTGTAGTTCTTTTAGTAAGTTACTGGGGTTTTCACGAACCGTTCTGACCTCTGCACCCTTTTCCCTGAGGAGTGAAGCAAGAGTTAATGTGTGAGTTAAGTTCTGTGAGACTTCTGCTTTAGCTGGATTTTGCTGTTGGATTTTTTTTTCCCTTTTCTTTTTCTTTTTCTCCTTGCTGGTCCATGTGGTATACTTTGCCCAGAGATGCCTAGTCAGGAGTTTTCTGCAGGCTAATTACAGCCGAGTGATTACTGGAAAACAAAAGGAGGGGAGGAAATAATTCTAGAACAAAAACAGATCTATTATATTCATGTAACGGTTTGTTAAAGACCAAAGGAATTGCGCATGCTAATATAGGGTGTGTTGACATTGGATGTTTAGTGTTTTTGTTTGCTTCATAATATGTTGGTCTTAGAGTTTGACTTTCATTTACATCACATTATTGTGAAAATGAACCGCTTAAAAATGGCTGCTCACGCAGCATCGTAGAACTTTAAAATTCAGTAATAATCATTCAAACAAAATGGTTCATTCTGGATCTAATAGTAAGTAATATCTAAATATATTGACATTTGTACAATACTATCATGTTGTGTTTGGTTTTTTTTTATTTTAAATAATAAATACAAGTACATGACTACTATTGACCTGCAGACCAAATAAAGCCCTCTGTTACTTGCTTTGATTCAGGTTAACAGAGGGCACATGACAACAGAGGCCAAACGTGCAGCTAAGATGGAGAAGAAGATGAAGATCCTGCTGGGCGGGTACCAGTCTCGGGCCATGGGTCTGATGAAGCAGCACAGTGACCTGTGGGACCAGGTGGAGCAAGCCCACATGGAGTTACACACCTTTCAGGAGCTGAAGAAGCAGGAGGACATGGCCATCCCACGCAGACAGGAGGTGAAGCACAGACCAGCTGGCTTTTGCAAAACAACTCCTCTGCGTAGTATATCAGCTTTACAGCACAAGAGTAGATTTTAACCAGTTTGAGTTAGAATATAGAAATTAGAATAATAAGGATGTTTAAGTAACAATAAAATGTGTTCACATTAAAATGTCTAAATAGATACTGAGAAATAATATAAATAGCCTTAAGAACACATGGAATTGTAGACTGACTTTTTCTTTTTTTTTTTAAACCAGGCCCTGAGAGAGGATGTACAGAGACAGCAGGAACGAGAAAAAGAGCTCCAGCAGCGGTTTGCTGACCTCCTGCTCGAGAAGGAAACTCTGGGTTCAGAGAAGTTCTAAATGTGACTTTTTACAAAGTATTTGGGACCATGTCTCTACGCCTTGGTCTGGCTCTACACTGGTTGTAATATAAGCAAAACCCAGTTGAAACCTTGAAGTTTTTTCCAGTTTTGAAAAACAGCATGGATGTCACCGTGTACCACATTACTGTCTGAATCCATCAGTTTCAGCAGCAGTGATTTGGCCTCTACTTCTCAAAGCTTGTGAGTTTGGAGTTCAAGTTCAGGCACTTGTGATCCCAAGGACCAGTCACTCATATGGAGTTCTCAATTTGTTTTTAAAATCAACATTTTTTTCATTTTGTAAAATCAGCAAGCATTTCTTTTGTAAATAATATCTGTCTGGCAGTATGTTTTGTTTTGTTTTGCAAAATTAGGCCATTTTGAGGGTTGTACACACAGTCTTGTACCTTTTCATTGGAATGTCGAGATCAAGGGAAACTGTATTCTCGATGGCTGTGAGAGTATTTGTTGTTAGCGCAATAAACCATCAGCTTCGGGATCGCAGTGTTTTTCATGACCACGATAAGTTCTGCAAATGATCTGTGTTGGTTAAGACCTCTTAAACCAAGAATCCAGGTTCTGTAGTGCTTTCCTTGCTTTAAAAAACTTGACTAAACTTACTGATAATGTATTAGTCACTCCCTTTAACATAGAAACTACAGATGGCTGACAAATGAAAGGAAAAGTCTCTTTAACTGCTGGAGGGTTGGAACACATTTTCTGCAAGATATTCCTTCAGGGGATGTTTTGATGAGAGAAAGGCTTAATGGGTAAGCGTGAAAGGGGTCATGATGTGCTCGCTTCTGAAGTTAAACTGAGCATCGTGTGGATCTGAGGAACCGCATCAAGCAAATGCTGCTTGGCTACACAGCAGCATTGGGGATAAGGCGAACCCAAACAGTTCTCAACTCGAATAAGAGCTCAAAATCTAGCAGTTTGAGGACCAAATAGCAGAGGGGTGTGGTGTTACACTTATACAATATATCATCATATTATAAAGCAGTGTAGTGAGTGTTCATTTTTGGACAGAGATGGGGGGAAAAGGCAGGACTTGCCTTTTTGTTTTCTGTACATTCTGGTTTGGACACTGCTTCCCAGTGCACAAGTTCATATTACGCACAAGTATGTTGGCAAATACCTATATGGATGTACAGCCGTCTGTACATGCTCACAGATACACAGACACAGAAGGATAATGTGCTCATCCAAAATATATAGGAGAATCTGGTGACTGCAAAGGCCATAGGATGCGTTTTATATCCTTTTCATACTCTTTGAATCAGTCAGTAACCCTTTCTGCCCTGGTGTTGGGGGTAAAGTCCTGGAAGAGACTCATCTGGATACAAATATTTCATCATAGGATAAAGGTGGTCAATCAGAACATTGCATTGATTTGAAGTAACCTTTCCCTCTAAAGGGAAAAAATGGACCCAAACTGTGCCAGCAAAATGCCCCCCATAACACAACCACTAGACCCTCACTGTAAGGATCAAGCATTCAGGCCTGTGCCGTTCTCTTGGGGTATGCAACACATGCACTTGCTTACTCGTGGAGAATATAGTGAAGGACGACTCTTCTGACCATATCGCTTTTTTTCGTATCTGTACCGCAAAAAATATGTGAAAGAGTGAAAACATCTTCAATCTAGTCAGTATATCTACTACTTTTAATGAGATTGTTATAGGAATATGCTAAAGAACAGTTTAATTTTGTGTAAAAAAACTGTTTAATTTTGTGTAACTTGATCTCATAAAAATACTCCATTTTGTTTTATGTATAATTTCTTGAAATAAGCAAAATTTTCTGCTTAACAAGTAAAATGATCTGCCAATGGAACAAATCACTTTCCATAGATAACATTGCTTAGACCAAGCAAAAAATTTATAGAACCAGGATGAATAATCTTGTAATATTCATACAAAAACCTGATGAGAAATATTGAGATATTGACTACAGTTAAGATGTTTTCATTTGCTAAGATATCATTTTGCTCATGCTCATGGTTTTTACACCCCTGATCTTTCAAATGTGTGGTTTAAGCACTGAAAACCTGCAAAATCCTCTCTGTGTATTTGTACTATGTACTGACACAGTCTGTACATGTCCTGCATTGAAATTTTCAGTCACCTGAAGAACAGTTACTCTTTTTCTTTACGTATAACAATAATACATAAGCATCACACTCACCACAACTTCCAACCCTATTTACTGATGTCTTTCTCATAGCTCTAAATGCAGATATCAAACTAGTCACTGTTCAGTCAGTGTTCAGTCCTATTGAAACACTAGTCAGTTAAAAAGTCTTTATGACTGGAACTCCTGACATCTGTGCCCCAATAATGGGCCCTCTTTCAAACTCATTTAGATCTTTAACTTTTGCCATCTTCATTCAAAATGGAGCTCAACCGAGCCTGCTCTGCATTTTTTACCTAGAGATAAGGGGGGGCTAAATACTGACATCCATGGCTTCAAAGGTAATTCCGAGTCCATAAAAGATAAAACTAAACTATTTTCCGTTTCCCAAAAAGAATATTGCTGCTCAAGCACTTTCGTCCTGCCAGCAGTGTCTCCATTTTCGCTTTATGAAGGGACTCAGCCTAGGGCCACAGTAATGAGGTTTGGCAAGATGAGGACAACTGGCTTAAAACTATTAGAAATTGCCACTTTATTTTCAAATGTACTCACACTGTGTCAGTCTCTCATTACTGGGGAAGGAATCGCGCCTCTAGCCTTAGAGCATATTGGAAAGAGCGGATGTGGTTTTGAAAGCTGTTATTCTGGGGTTTTCAATGCTCTTCAATGCTCCCTTTGCAAGCCTGATGCAAGATCATTCAAGGCCCTTTCATTATTTGGCTGGAGTGATGAATCAAATGTGACTGGGTGGGTGGCGTCACTTGTCTGTCTGCAGTGGAGGAGGAAGAGAGAATTTGTAAATCCATTAATGCAGGTCTGATTAAACATGCAATGATTGCACATGGGCCATAGAGATGCCTCTTGTAATAAGATAAATATCCAAAGACTCTAATTTATTAGAAATATGATGGCTAAATATAACAAAGCCCTGTTTTTCCAGTAGTGATCTGAGGGCAGTGATCATTTTATACTCATTTTAAAGTCGATCAATGTGCAAAATCGTAAGTGTCAGATTGACCGAGATCAAAGTAGTATTTGACTGCAAGCACCCCGAATATGGGTTCAGTGAAGTGTTGAAAGATTTCTTTCACTAGAGACGTAACAATAAACCTTCAGTTTTGACCTCCACAAATCTAAAAAAGATTGACAAGGTATGCAAGGCTTATATCACAGTGGAATTCTCTTTGCCTTTTACACAGTCCCTTTGGAAAGGACTAAATAGCTGATTTTGGGAGTTGTGTGATTAGCACCAGGTTTCATTGGAAGTAGCACAATGCTATCCGCTTTCACTGGGGTACCACATTCTCTGAATATCAAAGTTTTGGATCAAGGATTAATACGAAGTTGTTGTGCAACACAGAAGCCAGAGACATTGGATGGTTGTGCAAGCACTGTGCAGTGTGATCTTTGGCAATACAGTGTGACTCTACATTAGATGTAAAGTAGGTCTGGTGCTCACATGGGCACTCTAGGATCCGTCCACTGTGAAGAGAGAGGAATGTTCCAATGTGCCACTCGTTATTTAGTGAAAAAAATAGGGTTGAGGCTGAAGTTTATACAGTGCAGTCCATATTTAACTGGACAGTGGCACAGTTTTTTGTAGTGTTGTCTTTAGGACTCTGGATTTTAAATTAAACTATTAACATAAGACCAGTGTACATAATTGATAAAGCAGGAAAGCTACATAGGAATTCCAGCTCTTCATATGTATTATTCCACCATTTATGGGACCAAAAGTAAATAACCAGACAGTTGATCATGCAAATGAGAGCTACCTAAAGATCATAGCTTGACTGTAGATATGGCTAGAGTCTTTTGCTGTTGTCTTTTAATATAAGGATGTACAAACAGGGTTGTCATCCATCCAGGAATTTCCTGGATTGTCCTGGATTTTGGTTGTCTGTCCAGGGAAAAAATGAAATCCATTCCTGGACACAAAATGTCCCAGAAACAAAGCATTTTCATATGTTAGCATTTCTTATGGAATTTTGACTGCTTTGTTTTTTCCAGTAAAACAATTTCTACACAAAGGGTTTTGATTGGTTTAAGAGAGCCTCAATTTAGGGACAGTTGTTTTGGAAAGGTGCTTTCATGGCGACATGTTAAGGCACTCCAGCACCAGAACTGACACGGGTAGGTTGAATCGACATCTGCCTACATTAGATTGCACCATGAACATAGTTACTCATCCCCTGAATTCAGTCACAAATCAAGCCATTGACCGAGTGTCCAGGAATTTTACAGGGCTGAGGTGTAAAACCGATGCAAGAATAAACATAACACTGGTAAACATACACTATTTAAAAATATGGTTCTTTAAGTGTCCTTTAGTAAAGACAGCGGTTCAATACGGAGCCATGAACACTCAAAGAACCATTTGCATGCTTAAATGATTCTTTGCATGGTGAAATCGCTCTTCATATTGATTGAGAATGTGTTGTATATGATTCTGTATAGAACCTTTTTGAAAATTGTTCTGTATAGACCCCAAAAAAAAGGTTATTCTATTGTTACAAGCTTGATTTCATTACTATTATGATCTATATAGAACCATTTTCAAAACCATATACAACACATTCTCCATCAGTCTGAAGAACCATATCACAATGCAAAGATCAATTTAAACATGTAAATCGTTCTTTGAGTGTTCATGGATCTAGAACCATATATAGAACCATTGTCTTTACTAAAGAATCCTTGAAGAACAGTTTTTTCAAAGGGTGTAGTGACAAAACTGCCTAGTGGGCCACAGCAGTGGATGTCAGAATGATTTTGATTAAGAAGAAAACCTTTTCGACTGTTGAGCAGATCAGGAACACTCTGTGGGATGCATGTATAGCGGTGTAACTCGTGTAGTCAAGTAAAAATGTTATGGATTTGTGTTTTTCTGAGTATTTTTACATGATAACACTTTTGCTTCTACATAAGCATATAAGTGATAAAAGGAATCTACTGTTAACTCAGTTACATTTCAGTCATTTACATTTTATTCCTTTTTGTGTTTGTCATTATTTTATACTGATAAAAGCATCTGTACTTGCTAATTTTTTCTGATTGGTCACACTGCTGACGAATTTTTTTTAGCTTTGTCATGTTATTTTAGACCAAAAGTTAATCAAAAAGGATGAATGACTGTAGTAACAGTACTTTTTACTTGAGTGTAGGTTTAGGCTGTTCCACCCACCTCTGTTTGTCGAAGACCGCCAGAAAGGGTATAATACACCAGTGTATCCACAGAGGGCTTATTTTAACATGCAAACCATAAAAACAAAAAGACCAGGTTAAGAAATGCACAATAAAAATGTACATAATAATTCTCAGGTTCTGGGACAGTCTTAAGGACAGGAGACAAAGATTGACAGGTCC